ATTCTCCATCCAGCCAGTGAGAAATTATTGTTTTAAGGATGAATGGATCTGGATGCTCTCAGACAGAATCCCAATGAACCTCTGTCACAGGTGCTTTAAGCCGGGGGTCCCTAACAATTGCCCCTGCAAAATTAGGGGTGCTGATGCTTATGTAGCAACCCAGAAACCATTCCTATTCAGCAGCAAATTTGATCGTTTTTTTTTTAGAGTAGCTGCTATAACCTACAAAAAGCATCTGATTCAAAATAAATGTGAAACCAAAATGGAAGTTGTTGCTTTAAAAATAAAAGAAATAAATCTGAGATATAGAATAAAATGTAAATAGAAAAGTTCTTTCTGGCCAAACAAAATAATTTTGCTCACCGGGAAAGTCACACAAATGTATTTATTTATCAGGGGTGATAAGTTACGACACCACCACATTTAAAAAAAAAACCCTGCTTTAAGTTGTATTCCTGTAAGCAACCTGCTCTTTGGAAGCCTCCAGTTCAGTTTCGCTTTCTAAGATAAGGGAGTGTACAACATTTGCATGATTGCCTTTTTTTGCGGTCAAAGTCTATTCACTCCTGGAAGGTAACCTAAGTTTAACTTCTCAGAAAAATTGAAGTTCACTCAGAAAGTTTGGCAGCCCTGCCCATCTGGACTTCCCCACCTCGTCCTGTTTCAAAGGGATGGGAGCCCAACTTTCCAGATTACCTGGTGACCCTCACTTTCCTCTTAGAAGAATCTGTTCCATATTCATACAGCGTAAATACAGGTAGTCCTCAACTTACGGCCATAATGGAGCCCAACATTTCTGTTGCTAAGTGAGACAGTGGTTCAGTGAGTTTTGCCCCCGTTTTACGACCTTTCCTGCCAGAGTTGTTAAGTCAATCACTGCACCTGTTAAATTAGTACAGGGGTAGGCCACCTTGGCTCTTTTATGACTCGTGGACTTCAACTCCCAGAATTCCTGAGCCAGCCGTGCTGAGGGGAAAGGGAGAGGTTTCCAAGCTGAGCCAGGCTGGCTCGGGAATTCTGGAAGTCCACCAGTCATGAAGGGGCCAAAGTTCATGTTTGAAGTAAATTTCCAGCTTGGGAGGGCCAGTGCCTTTGCAAATAAGGTTATCAGGTTAAAAAAAAGCCCACAAACCTGGTGACTAATTTCTGTCAAGGTTGAGTATACTTTCACTTTTTCAATGAAAAACAGTCCGTGTCCTTTTCAAATAGCAGGATGAGGCTCGTTCAAATTCCTACATGGATTAGTGGTTTCCGAACTTAAACACAGCACAATGAAGTCCTGGCAATTGCTTTATTCTGCTGGATGCCCAGATTGGTGCCTTCATCTCATCCCCAGCCCAGGAACGAAGCAGCCTTAAGCTGTACTAGCTCTATGGAGTAGAGAGTTGGTCTCTGACAGAAGGCCACCTGAAGAGACTAGAAGCATTTGAAATGTGGATTTACAGGCGGCTGTTACGTAGAAGTTGATCAGAAATGAGGAGGGGATAAGCCGCCTGGGAGAGCCCATGTCAAAGCAAGAATATTCATGTCAACGCTGCTAATATTGAATATTCTTGCTTTGACAGCCCAGGGAAATCATCAAAACAATTAAAAAACGAAAATTAGAATATTTCGGACATGTGATGCGACACCCAGAAAAATACGGCATACTCCGTTTAATCCTTCAGGGAAAGATTGAAGGTCGATGAGGTCCAGGCAGAAGAAGAACATCGTGGCTTCAAAATCTAAGGGACTGGTTTGGACAAAACTCAGCAGCACTTTTTCGTGCGGCTGCTGATACAAACAGGATCGCCAGCATGATCGCCAACATCCGATAACGGATATGGCACAAGAAGAAGAAGAAGTGAAGCCACACTTGGAATATTGTGTCCAATTCTGTTTGCCGCAATACTGTACAAAAAAAACATGCTCAGACCCTAGAAAGAGTGCAGAGAAGAGCAACAAAGATGATTAGGGGTCTGGGAAGCTAAACCATAGAATGAACGGTTAAGGGAGCTAAGGACTAGGGCACAGGATGACTGCCTCTCAGGATTTGAGGGACTGCCATTGAGAAGAGAGATTCAACTTATTCTCCTGAATAGTATCTGGGGACAAGACAAGAAGCTCATTAAAGAGAGATTCTAAGGAGAAATTCCTGACAATTAGTAATGGACCAGCTCGCTTCCCGGAGTTCTGGTGCTCCATTGCTAGAGGTTTTCAAGAATAGACTGGACAATCACTTGTCCTGGGTGGTATAAGGTCTCCTACCATGGGCAGGGGGCTGGACTAGAAGACCTCCAAAGTCCCTTCCAGCCCTATATCCTGTAATACTGAGATAAAGGTAGAATTCTCCACCTTATTTTGATAGTTCTCAAAGCAGCCTCAAGATATATAACATTTTGACAGATCTGCCCTGTAAAAAAGCCAATGAGAGCATCATGTGCCTAGCCATACATCTCTCCCATAACTTGACGACTTGGGCTAGCAGTCCATCTCTCTTAGCCCTAGGAAGCAAGTAATGGCAAATCACTTCTAAAATCTTGCCCAGAAGGTTACAGGGACTTGCCCAGTTGTCTGGAGTCAGTATTGACTTGAAGTGAAAAAATACAATAAATAACTTGGGGAAATTTAAGGTGCAGAAATAACTTGCAGATAAACTTATCTTTCACTGTTTTGCTGTTTGATTTGAACAAAACTTTGGTTTGTTGTTCAATATCACTCAGCCTTTAAAGGATTGTTCTTTTTGCCCAGTCAAAAATAGAGAATAGAGGTCTTTTTTTTCTTCTTTCTCATTGGAAAAAATAAGTAAAAGTCAATTAAAAGCTTTCAAAAGAAGAAAAAAAATCTTACTAAGACAAACTAAGCAACAACTAAAAGCTTAATTGGCTTAAAGACTGAATCGAAAGAGGAAAGACAAATTTGATTAGAAAGCAAATCCATTCAGAAGAAGAAACTTTTGGCCATGTGGGTAGACCTCAGCAACTTTAAGATGTGTGGTCGTCAACTCCCAGAATTCCATGGGGGTTGACATCCACACATCTTAAAGCTGCTGAGGTTGAAAAACACTGGTTTAAAGTATTAAGAGTCAATTTATTTGGAATTATTTTCTGAGGTGATTGGCATCCAGACTTCTGAGATTAACTTCCCAAGCTTGTTCTTTTATCTGCAACATGACATCTTTCCTATCTGATGGACTGGGAACACCGTTTTTCACACTTATGATCATTGCAACACCCCCATGGTCACGTGATCAGAATGTAGATGTGTGGCAACTGGCATGTACTTAGAATAGAATACTGCTGGAAGGGACCTTGGAGGTCTTCTCAAGCAGGAGAGCCTATATCATTTCAGACAAGTGACTGTCCAGTCTCTTCTTTAAAACCTCCAGGGATGGAGCGCCCATGATTTCTGGAGGCCAGCTGTTCCACTGGTTAATTGTCCTCACTGTTAGGAAGTTTCTCCTTAATTCCAGGTTGCTTCTCTCCTTGAGGAGTTTCCAACCGTTGTTTCTTGTCCTGTGGATACTCGTGACTTCCGCTTCTTATCTGGATTACTCTGAAAGCCTGACTGCTCCCGCCCAGGGAGTTTTCTTGACAGGTATATTTCTGATAAGGTCAACTGACTAATCGATAAAAGTGAATGGCAATGACAGGAAGGTAGCTTGCCACTGTGACCTGCGTCTCCTTCTGCCTCCAGCCCTGCGATTGCTCAGTGATCTCTTCTCCAAGGACTAATGAGGCCTGCTCAGCTTCTTTGGAGTCATCCAAGATTGGTAAGTGCTCTGCTCTGCTTTAATGCTTAAAATAAGGAGTGACCCGATTTTCCTGGGCCAGAAGCCAAGCATTGGCTCTTGAGAGTGTGCCAATCCCAGAAGTCATAGATAGGGCAAGGCAAATGCTGATTACAATCCTGGGTCGTATAAACAGAGGCATAAAATCAAGATCACACAAAGTATTATTACCACTTTATAAAACCCTAGTGAGACCACACCTGGAATACCGCAGCCAATTTTGGTCACCATGCTACAAAAAAGATGTTGAGACCTTGGGAAAAATTCAGAGAAGAGCAACTAAGATGATCCAAGGTCTGGAGACTAAAATATACGAAGAACGGCTGCAGGACTTGGGTTTGGCTTGTCTAAAGAAAAGAAGGAATAGGGGAGACCTGCTAGCAGTGTTCCAGTACCTGAGGGAACACTGGTCTGTTTTAAGAAAAGCAAACAAGCATGTTGCAAAGCAAAAAAAATAATAATTGATCTACAGAAATTGCATTTCCAGCAATACCTTTAAGCCCCATATAAACCCTACTGTAGTAAGACTGAAATTCAACTGCAAACCCTGGACGTCCCACTAGATGGCAGCAATGTGTTGGCCCTGCCATCTAGTGGCCCTTTAGTTTTGGGCTAGCTAGCTATTGTAACTTCCTTGTGAGAAATGTGCCTCTCTACCTGGAGGTGGGGGGGAATAGGTAACAAGCACTTGGGAATGCTAGAGGGAGTGGTAGAGCACCCACAACTCCTGAAGAGTGGTAGAGCACCCACAACTCCATCAGGCAAAGTGCTGAGATGAGCAAAGGCCGGGAGCAGTTCGTTCATTTGGGCAAGAAGCCAGAGGCAACAATGCAAACCGGAGGGCTGTGTCCTGGCTCAGCTTTCAGAGCTAGAGAGAGAAAGAGAAAGAGAAGCTGGAAATTCCCTGCTACAACAACAAAAGCGGTGTCTTGTGACACTCAAACACACATCCCCAGAAACCTCCATGATGATTAATGTTTAACTCACAAGGGTGCTGTATAAAACAGCTTCCTTTCTTTCAGTTTGAAGCAGAGGCTTTGGTGGTGCTCGGAGAACCTGGAAAATTGCTTCTTCAGCCTGGTTTCAGGGAAGGGAGAAGCAGGTGGCCAGCAACCAGCACCTCCAGCCCAGCACCGCACCGCACAACACACAGCACAACCTAGCCCAGCCCCACCAATCATGGGAGCCTGCCTTAGTCCCTCTGATGACGGTAAGGAAAACCTTCAAGCTGGCTTTATGGACACGAGATTGGCTTGAAATGCTTGTTTTAGCCAGCTTGGAAGGGAAGTACTCAAAATTATTTCTGAGCATACACTGAGCATCTTGGCTCTGAGCACTGAAGCTCTGCTGCCAGCCTCTGTGCAACTAAGTACTGTAAATATTTAAATGCTAGAGATTGGCAGCAACTTTCTTTCAAAGTGGCAAATGTAATAGAGGAAAGGCAGCTGGATGATGGATGCTTTCCTTGAACTCTCTGGATATTCTCCATCAGCCAGATCGTGGAGGCCACAACGGTGCCGTTTTCCAAAAGGAAACAGATTTTTCTTGATTTTATTGCAGGAAAACATTCTGCTTCTCATCCAGGAAGCTTCTTTTTCAGTTCAGTTCTTCAGTGCTTTACTTCTTCAGAAGGTCTTCAGAACTGAAGAGGTTTCTTGGGTGAGAAGCGAAAGTTTTTCAAAGAAAGAAACGAGTCCAAAAAGTTGCCTTTTAGAAAAAGCACCCTTGGGCGCTATCCTGGAAGGCTGATGTAGAACCTCTACGTTCGGGATAGCCTGCCTGAATCCTAGGAGCTGGTGATTGGGAGAGCAGAGTAGGCTTGAATGTGGACCTTTTTGGAAGCAATTTGCCAAATTTGGGGATCTTCACCCAACTCAATAAAGTAAGAATACTGTTTTTGATGAAGCTAAATTGAAGAAGCTGGACATCTCCAGATGTTGGTGAAAGACTGCCTCTCTTGTTCTTGGCAGTTGATCATACTGGTGTGGGGTGTCCAACAACATCTGGAGCACTGCAGCTCTTCTACCCTGTATGAAGGATCTGATAAGTTCATTTGTGAGGGATAAGCTCCCTTCACCACGGCAAGAGAGAAAACACAGAGTAACATCATCAGTGCTATAGTGTATAAATATCACTGCTGTAGCACTGAAGATGTTACTAATTTGGGTAATGAAACGTCTGCAAGAAAACAACCAAGCTCAGAGAGTGCCACGGACCCCTCAATTTAACCATGAGTTACAAATATTCTTCTTTATTGGCATGATCATCATTTAGATTATTTTGTGCCTTTTCATTTAGATTATGTTGGGCTGGAGCCGGGATAGGCAACCTTGGCTCTTTTATGACTCGTGGACTTCAACTCCCAGAATCCCTGAGCCAGCATGGCTAGAAGATAAAGACACGTGTGCCATGAAGTTAGATTGGAATCAGAATGCCCATCAACTTCTCAAATTATATCTGGAGGGCAGGTGACAGAAGAGATAAAAATGGCCTCCTGGCTAATCAGCAGCTACATGATACTGCTTCAGGCCAGAGTTCCCCAACCTGGCGGGTGGGGGAGGGGAATGGTTCTGTGCGAGCAGTGGGTAAGCGCCTGCGTACAAGCACAGCTCCATTTGCACAAGTGGCGGGCATGCGCCCCTGCTGTCTGCGCAAATGGAGCATGCAAGCACCTGCTTGCCTAGAAGGCAAGACAAGAAATCATGGATGGAAATGAATCAAGGAGAGAAGAACTGAGAACAATTAACCAGTGGAACAACCTGCCTTCAGAACTTGTGGGTGCTCCATCGCTGGAGGTTTTTAAGATGAGGCTGGACAGCCACTTGTCTGAAATGTTATAGGGTATCCTGTTTGAGCAGGAGGCTGGACTAGCAGACCTCCATGGTCCCTTCCAACTCTGTTATTCTGTTGTTCTGAATAAGCTTATCTATGGCCTGGATTTTTTGGCACCAAGAAAGGGTTCAGATATGTGACCCCCTAACCTTGGCTTGAAAATAACTTCTTTAGCATAGGCCTGTTTATTGGAAAATTAGCTCTCCTTCCACTTTCAGTGAAAGAATGAAAGTGAAAGTAACTCAATGATTTGTTGCCTCTAAACACACTCCAGGTTTTGTTCCCTTCTAGACACAGACGGTTTCGAAAATTAATGCTGAAACATTTTGTGATTTGAGGTTGGATTGTTTTTTATTCTCACACAAGACTTATCTTGTTTTCCCGCATATGTATAAACTTTAATCCTTTATCTATGTTTCCCTTATCTGCAACAATAAACTCATATAAGGCTGGCAGGAGATCTGAAAATGAGGCCCTTGTACAGTTAGAAAGCGTTTGCCGTTTGCATGGCAGAGCTTCCAGTCTCCACCCACCAGACCTGTTTTGCTCTCCCAGGGAGCTGAGCACCTTGAGAAGGTGCTGAGTGCTCCGAGGTCAAAATGTTCCCAATTCTTCCTTAGTGTCTCAGAAAACCAAGTCCGTGAGGATTTGCAAGCTCCGCACTCATGCTGTTAACATGGATGCTGTTAATATGGGCATCTCTCTGATGTCCCCCAACGTAGTTAAAACAGAAACTGCACTGCCACGATTCATCATTATCAGGGTAATAAAACATTGAGCATAGAACATAAATTCAAATAACTTTATTGCGGTCATTAACCGGGAGAAAATAACACAGAATCATAGGGCCGGAGCAAACCTCAGAGGTCTTCTCGTCCAACCCACTGCTCAAGGCAGGAGGCCTTATGCCATCCTGGTAAAATGGTGTCCAATCTCTTCTTGAAAACTTCCAGTGATGGAGCGCCCTTAACTTCTGGAGGCGAGCTCTTCTGCTGACTAATTGTTCTCACTGTCAAAAAAGTTCTGCTTATTCTTAGGTTGGATCTCTCCTTAACAAGCTTCCTCCCATTCTTGTCCTGCCCTCAGGTACTTTGGAGAAGTGACCCTCTCTTCTCCGTGGCAGCCCCTTACGTACTGGAAGACAGTGATCACATCCCTCCTAATCCTTCTTTTCAATAAGCTAGACATATCCAGCTCCTTTTAGCCTCCATATCCTTTATCATCTTTGCTGCTCTTCTCTGCATACTTTCTAGGGTTCTCAGCATCTTATTTGTGCTTGTGGTGACCAGAACTTTATTCAGTATTCTTCACTCGTGTGGTATAAAATAGATCTCCGAGCGTTAGGTACCAGCTTCAGCATCCTGAGCGTCACAGCTGTGCATTAAGGATCATTCTTGGATGATTTGGGGCCGGTCACTATCTTTTAACCCAATCTACTTCACAATAGGGGATGTCCACAGGAGATGGTCAAAAAGCCAAGGTAGCAACCACAATGATGCGATGGAAGCTTCAACTGAGTTTGTGTGTGCGAGGGAGAGACACACATAAGAAGAAGTGAGGCTTTGATTGTGTGGTTGCACATCCCACTTGGCTTTTCTGACATACCTGGAATGGCATGTAATCAGGAGGTGCTTTCCCAGGAGAGAGGGAGGGAGGGAGGGAACACATCCCGGAGGAGTAAGAGACAACTCAGTTGGGATGTGACGTGTGCGGTAAAGAAGGTGAAACCAGCTCCTCCATAATAGTTCCATGAGTATATTGTAGATGCAGAGAGCAGACACTATGCGTTATTTCTCTTATATAGTGATGTAGGCTATTTCAACCAAGATGATTAGGAACCGGAGGCTAAAACATATAAGGAACAGTTGCTGTAATGGGTTCTATCTAGTTTAATGAAGAGAAGGACTACAGATGAGATGATAGCAATGTTCCAGTATCTCAGGGGTTGCCATAAAGAAGGGGGTGTGTGTTAAATTATTCTCCAAAGCACCAGAAGGCAGGACAAGAAACAATGGATGGAAACTAACCAAGGAGAGAAGCAACCTAGAACTAAGGAAAAAAACCCTGACTGTTAGAACAATTAATCAGTGGAACAACCTGCCTCCAGAAGTGGTAAATGCTCCAACACTGGAAGTTTTTAAGAAGAGACTGGACAGCCATTTGTCTGAAATGGTGTAGAGTCACCTGCCTGAGCAGGTTTGGACTAAAAGATCTCAAAGGTCCCTTCCAATTCTGCATTCTTTATTGGTGTAAACAGGTTCCTTTGAGGCCTTCTACTCTCCCTTCTTTCTAAGATTATATTAATGATGATTCATGTCTCCATAGAATCAGATGGTTTTCTGGAAGCGTCCTACAGCCCACTATTCTTCCACCCTCACGTCAAAGGATCCCAGATTTTTATGGATGAATCTTGCTGTACAGTAAGTAGAATGGACACCTTCCATGATGGCATCGTCTTCTCCAACCGACCCGTAGAACTTTATGAGAAAGTGACTTTGAAAATCTTACAAGTCGACCAGAAATGGCAGGGTGGCCTACGGGTGGGCTTCACCTGGAAAAACCCTTGCCTTCGCTTTGGTCCCTTGCCTCCATTTGTGTGCCCAGACTTGGTCATCCAAGGGAAGACTTGCGCAGGTGTTGTACCAGATGAATATATAGCAGAAGATAACATTATCAGCTTCTGGGTGGACGGCCAGGGCTGTGTTTTCTGCAGCATCAACCTTGAGGCTGAAAGATCCCTCCTCTTCAAGGGTGTCTCGGTTCAGTCTCCTCTCTGGGCTGTTGTGGACGTCTATGGAAGAACCAAAGCAGTCCAACTTCTCGGTAAGCAACTGCAGGCTGGATACTTTGCAGTGTGTGTGGCTTTTTTAGGGCACAGGAGTTCCTGTCGCTAAGACATTTATTAACTGTGTTTTGTCCCTTTTGACAACTGTCTGACTTCCCTATTGGATTTTGCTTGTCTGAAGGTCACAAAAGGTGATCACATGACCCCAGGACCCTGCAACCATCATAAATATGAGAGAAAGTGAGTGAAGATTATTTTCCATACTTATAATTGTAGCAGCATCCCTCTAGTTATGTGATCAAAATTCAGATGGTTGTCACCTGCCTCATACTGGTCATTTATGACGATTGCAGTGTCCCAGAGTCATGTGGTCCCATTTTGTGACCGTCAGACAAGCCAAGTCAATGGGGAAGCCAGATTCACTTAACAACTGTTGTTAGTAAACTTAACAACTGCAGTGATTCACTTATCAACCGTGGCAAGAAGGGTGGTAAAATGGAGTAAAACTCACTTAAGAAATGTCTCGCTTAGCAACAAAAATGTTGGGGTTCCATTGTCGTTGTAAATCAAGGACTACCTGTAGGATACATATCTTCCCCTTTCCTTAAACTGGGGAACAGAACTTCCATTTTATTCTAAAGTGATTGTGCGGTAACAATGCATACACAATCTGTAAGGCTTGTTGGGTGTGGAACCACACAAGGAAGCACAAAGTGGGCCAGTCCACTCTGGCTCTAGGAGATGAAGTCCACAAGTCTTAAAGTTGCCAAGTTCAGCTGGCCGCCTGTTTTAAACTCTCCCGTGAAATATTTATGCCTCTGCAGATTCCCCCAGCCTGGGCTTCCAGGGAGGAGCTGAAGAAAGCACTGCGGAAGATTGCATGGTCTGCTGTGAGTCTCAGGCCAGCACCATGATGTTCCCTTGCTGCCACACCGGCTTCTGCTCCAGCTGCTCCTTGAAGATTTTCAGGACCAGCGGCCGCTGCCCTCTCTGTCGGGAGAAGGTGAAGAAAATCCTCCAGATCTCCACTTTGGCAGAGAGCGAGGGCCTGCCAAGCTGGTTGGGAAAATCAGTGAGTGACAGTTCCCTGCGGTGACAAAACGTGCACTATTGCGGTGTGCCAGAAATATGTCAGTCCTAGCAGGAAAAGGCAAGAATTGGAGGGTCGAAGAAAGCAATCGGGAAGAAACCCCCCCCCAAAAAAGGCGGGAAAAAGCAGTGTTTGGTTAAAAGGGACAGAAGCAATGAATAAGGATGTTAGAGGGATAAATGATCTGATCGCTGAAAGCACTGGAGACGCACATAGGATATGCGAGAAAGCAGCATCCAAAAACTTTTTGTTTTTTAAAAAAAGACGGTGGTCCTCACACTCGCCCGCTGGCACAAGATTGATAAGCTTTGAAACTTACTTCCAGGACTTTCCCAGCAGGGGCATCACCAGCCCTGTCTGCTCTCAGAGCCACAAGAATTAGTGGAAGGGCTTATTGAAAATTTCTAAGGCTACGCCAGCCGTCAAAAAATGTTATTAGCCAGGGAATTCTTCCTGGGCAAAAGACAATTGACAGGTTAATCAAAACCTTTGGAAATTCTGCTTAAATCTGCTACCTGTCTTGGCTTGCTTGTGATATTGATGTTGCCTGAGAATGAGAGAATTTTATCTTTCAGAAAACACAATCTTATTCAACCAAACAGCTGCGGCCTTCGGGAAGAGGGGGAGTATGACCAGGCTTGTAAATAAACAGCGTTGCAAGAACAAACAGTCAAATTCCAAACTTAAGGAGTCACCAGAAGGAGCGAAGAGACATTAAAAGAGGAATTCTTGAAAGCGAAAAACTCTTTATTGTTTCTCCTGCTCAGTGAGATGGGAACTCCTTTTGCAGGAAACATCTGGAGATTTAGGCCTTCCAGACCAAAGACAAAGGGATAATTTCCTGTGATTCGTTGTTACAAGATCAAAATCAAACCATCTCAAAGTCGGCAGGGCTTGTACGTTGAGTACATTGAAAGCTAAGAGGGAGAAAATAAATAAACAGACAAACAAACGCCTCTTGCAATCTTAAATGATCAAGTTTTGGCAGAGGTTTCTTGACCAGAGGCACTATGTTGAGTATCTTTTGGCCTATGAAGATTGCAAAAATGGTGCAAGCTTTCTGGTTTTTCCAGACCCCTTTAGGCGCAATCCAACTATCCGTCATAGCTGTGTCATATCATGTCATAGTCTAAAACAAAATTGGGTCCTGGCCTTATGCGAAAATCAAAGTTTGCCCAGAAATCCCTCATTCTCGCATTTTGGGGAATTAAAAAAGAAATCATTTATTAAACTTAAAACAGTTCTATCTTCTGAACGACAGACATTTCTTAACAGAGTGGGGTAGGTACATGGTGGGTACTGATAACTTTCTGCCTTGGAAGAAAAATGAATGACAATTGCAATTGAATTGTTTTCAATCTTCTCTTAAAAGACACAAGTCAGAACCAATAAAAAAAATCAGTAATATAATGCTGTGAAGAATTCAGAATAGAAACAACTGGAAATTTGAAGTATTTTAGAGTAGATTTTCTAAATGGCAAGAAGTCAACCTATATCATCGGTTTCTGTTAATGATGTTCTTTTTTGTACTTGCTTCTCTGTAAAAATCTGTAATTTCTAGAAAGAATTTGTAATAAACCATTGAGATATCACCCTTGTTGTTTTCCTTAAAAATGATATTTATGGGTATAAAGAGGTGATGTTCAAAGATGCGTAACAGGAAATGTGGAAAGAAAGAAATCAAAGAACCAGTTTCTTTAGCAGCCCATTTCTAACCATGGTGATCCGGTTATTTTTGAAGAAATTGCTAGACAGGACGTGAAGGCAATGCTTTGACAGCTAATATTGCATTGTTGAAAGAAGGTGCTTGAAAAGCTCTGATGCCCATTTTTCTGGGTGATCCAGAATAAAAGGTGGAGAAGACAAAACCTGTCTCCTTTTTCCTGTGCTAATCATCCTGTAGATGCCTGACACCATCTTTTGCCTTTCCCATCAGCCACAAGTAAAAAGAAAACCCACAAAACAACTGAAAGAAATAAAAAAAAAAACTTTATCAGACTTAATAGAAAAGTCAAGTGTAAAACTGGATGAACACTTATACTAAACTAGGCAGAGCAAAACTTAAAAAGCTCAGCAGTTGAGCCTCATCGAAGGAACAGGAGGTGCTTAAAAACAGTGCTGTAAGCCAGCACTCAAACCTTCCGAGAAATCTGACTCACAAAAACGTTTTAGACAGAGAATCAGGTTGTGTGCCAACTATTTAAGCTACCATGCCATTTTTAAAAGATATTAGGTTTTAAAATGTAGTGGCCGAAAATAAATGAGAAATGAGAAAAAAAAATAAACCCCAGCAATATCTAAATACACTTGAGTAATCAAGTCGTACTTGCTGGGTTAGCTCTGTACTGTCCCGGTAACTGTTCCACCGCAGATGGCTTGGACTTTTAAGTCAAGTAATCTGTAGCCGGCATGGCTGAAAACTCCCAGACCTGAAGTCAAATGCAAAACCACAGAGCCCACCCTAGAAAAGGGGGCCTCGCTTCAGCCTTCCTTTATTTTTCAGGCCATTGCTTACAAACCCTTCCTCGGTCACCCACAACTTACAGCTGCCGTGTAATAAATTAGATCCGGAAGCCTCAGAAAACTGCAGAGCCTGCCTCCAGCCATTAAGCAAGGTGAATCATCCAGGGGCTTAGGCACTTTCTAACAAGAAGAGCCAAGTTAAACAAAAGAAAAGAGTGAGTTAGTCATTAAAAAATGAGATCAGGGAGGCCGGTGGAAAATTCCCTTTGGGAAGCACGTGGAAGGCTATCAGGTTCACCCACTCGGCTGGTGCAGTCAGCTGCCAAGGTGAATGGAAAATTTCCCCCATTCCGACTTTCCCACCAGTCTTGTGGACACATTTCTCTTCTCTCCCCTCCGCCCCCAGAGGCCCTTTGGCAAACAAGTCAAGGCTGATGGACAAGCCGCTTCTTCTTCTTCTTTTTTTTTTTTTTTTGGCAATGCCGATTGCACAGGCTGAGAAATCATACACAAACAGTCATGACTTGTTGATGGAGGAATGTTTGCTCCCTGGGAAATCATTAAGCATAAATATCATAATGAAAGTTCAGATTGAGAGCCTGGTTATCGCCATCATTGAAAAGGGCTTTCCAAGAAGAAAGAGGGGAGGGGTGGATTAAAACAGGGCTGGGCAACCATTTCTTCCACAAAGGATACACACACACACACACACACAGACATATATATATATATATATGCAAACTTAGATTTTGATGACAAAAGGTTAAAGGGAGACTAGTATAGCTATTAGACAGGTTCACTGTATCTCTCTCTCTCTATATATATATGTATGTATGTATGTATGTATGTGTGTGATATATATATATATATATATATATATATATATATATATATATATATATACATACACACACACATACATACAAAAACTAAAATATAGATCACCGAGACTAAAGTGTTTTAGTTTTCGAATATAAATATTCCCGAGACTCGTATCTTCAAAACTATTTTATATGTGTGTGTGTGTGTACAGTCCTCAACTTACAATGGTTCATTTAGTGACTGTTCAAAGTTACAACAGCACTGAAGAAAGGGCCCATGACCGTTTTTCACACAACCACGGCAGCATCCCCATGGTCACACGATTAAAATTCGAACACTCGGCAACTGATTCATATTTACGATGGTCGTAAATAAGAGTCCCGGAGTCACGTGATCCCATTCTGCAACCTTCTGAGAAGCAAAATCCAACGGGAAGCCAGATTCACTGAACAACCGTGTGGCTGACTTAACAATTGCCGTTGATTCGCTTAACAACGGTGGCAAGAAAGATGGTAAAATGGGGCGAGGCTCACTTAACAAACGTTTCACATTAGCAACAGAAAAGTTGGGCTCAACTGTGGTCGTAAATCAAGGACTACGTGTGTGCGTGTGTGTCTACGTATATGGAGTGAATTTTTCTGAGAGGGGAAGTCACATTTTCCTTGTCCTTTCCCAGCGGGGGAAGGGAAACAGGTTTTCCTTATTTATATGAAGCCCAGCTTATGTTTGCGTCGGTGCAATTGCTCAAGAGCCTCTGGGCACAGAAACTGAAGGGGCTCCATAAATAGCAAACCAGAAAGGAAACCTCAGACTCTATGTTGACAGCCTGACCAATCTGAACAGAAATAAGGAGATCGTATCTTTCATCGACCTAGCAGTTAGGTAACAGATTGTGCCTACGAATGTGATGAGATAATGTGGTTGTGCAACTGGAGTTCCAAACTCTGGCTTTCAGTTAAGTCACCCGTCTGGCGCAACTTCCTTATTACTTGATGAAATCAAGGTAAGCTTCTCTACGAAGGAAGGTTTGTCTGGATCGGCTGCAAATGAAAATGGCTGCATTTCCCGACATGCAGCAAAGCTCTTCTCTGCTACGTCCACCGCCCACACGAAACTGCAGCACAAGATGCAACAATCCAAATCAAGGCATGTGCATATGTTCAAGTCACCGGCACGTCTGCCAGAGGTTCAAAGCAAATGAAAGCTATAGGCAGAACAGAACTACTATAAGGGTTGGATTTATTTCTAAACAAAAAAAAATTTGTACAAATATATAGAATGACTTTAAGACAATGGTAAAACGACAGGAGAAGGATGGGAACATGTTCAGTGCGGGGGGGGGGGGGAACTGAAGCGTGTTTTCAAAAGCAGAAGCAATACAAGTGCCGTGATTGTGCCAAGCACACACATGAGGGTTAAAAAGCTCCACACACTCGGGGTCAAAGAGGCCAAATTCAGGGGGAGTTCAAAGCCCCCCCCCACTCATTAAAAGACAAACAGATCCGGACTGCCAGAATCATTTGCAATTCATACGCTATTTATCCCAGGAAGAAAGGATGGGAGTTAGGCAGAGGTTCCTGCCCTTCACTTTATGAGCTGGAGAAAAGTCTTAAAGGACAAATAAATTCCCTCTTTGTGGAGGCCGAAGAATGTCGGACAGCACAGGTTAATCTTCTTGTAGCACTAAAACTTCAGACAAGTCTTGCACCCCTTGTAGTTTCAGATTCTGGGGACATGTGGAAGGGGGGGAAAAAAGAATAAAATGTCAAACCGTAAAACTGCCCACTCGAACGCAAGTCCCTTCTCAGCACTGTCAAAGGTTTCACCAACTGGTTAGCCAAGCCAGGAGATATAGGCTGAACAGATCCTGTTCATCCCACATGACTGTCCTGTTACAGGCAGCCCTCGACTTACAAAAGTTCATTTAGTGACTGTGCTTAAAAGGGGACTTGTTACCGTTTTTCACACTTGCAGCATTGCAGCGTCCCTGCAGTCACGTGATCAAAATTCGGACGCTTGGCAACTGCTTCATGTTTATGACCACTGCAGCATCCCAGGATCATGTGATCCCTTTTGCCACCTTCTGACAGGCAAAGACAATGGGGAAAGCAGACCCGCTTAATGATCACATTACTAAATTAATGACAGCCATGATTCGCTTAGCAACTGTGGCAAGAAAGGTCATAAAATGGAGCAAAACTCACTTAACAAATGTTTCACTTAGCGACATAAATGTCGGTCTCAACTGTGGTCGTAAGGCGAGTACTTGAATTGCTGGAGGTATCGTACTCACCTTTTCGTTAGCCAGTTGCAAGAGGCAAGCAAAGGCCAAGGGTACAGAGAGGTTTTTTGCCATCACGGAAGGCAGCCTACAAGACAGAACAAGGTGGGACGAGAAGCAAGGAATCTTTTATTTTTACAGCTCGAAAGAAAAAAAAAAAACATTTTCTCCTCCTGGGTTTTCTTATTGCTGCCCCCCCCAAAACCCATCAGACTTTTAAAAGTAGACACATCAAACAAATTGGTGTATTGACAGAGGAGAATATTTATAGCTCAAGAGTTGAACTGAGAGGTCCTTGGTGGACTCTGAGTCTGGTAGTTTTCATGCACATTTCATGACCCAACTAGGTAACATCATCAGTGCTAGAAGCGGGAGGGGGTTTGTGGAGAGGAGGAAAAGAACTGCGAGGTCCTTGGTGCTTTCTGAGCTTGGTTGGTTTTTTTGCAGACATTTCACTACCAAACTAGGTAGCGTCATCAGTGCTTATAGCACTGATATTTATATACTATAGCACTGACGATGTCGTAATTGTGGTCGTAAGTCAAGGACTACCTGTAATTTGCTTCCTTGTTATCGGCTGCCTTGAGGTGGGGCGTAAATTATTAAAGAAGCAAATGTATAAAGAGTCCTTCTTTAACAGCCAGACATATTAATTCTCTAAAAGGCAAGGCTTACTGATAAAATACAAATTATTCCCTAGCCTGGAAGCAGACAGAGAAATTGTCAAACTGTTCACATCGTGTAAATGTTCCTCTGTAGTAGTCTTGACTCCCTGGGGCTTGCCCTAAGCTCCATGGGGTGGACTTGTTTCAAAAGCTGTGGTTTACTCTAGAGGTGAGTGCATCTTCATCTTACTTCCTGATATTTGACAAGGTATTTGAGACCCTGGGAAATACCTGTGAAGTAGGTCCGTGGTGATGCTGCTGAAGGCCTTCGAGCCTCCGACCGATATAGACTTAACCTTTTCCTCTGGGTCTTCACTCTGCAGGGAGAACGTTGAAATAAAAGCAGTCAGATCATGAACCT